CAGGAAGAAAAAGAAAAGGAAAAAGAAAAAGAAAAAAAAAAGAAAAAGGAACAAGGAAAAAGGATAAGAAAAAAGGAAAAAGAAACAAAGAAAAATAGAAGGAAAAAAAAAGAAAAAAGAAAAAGAAAAGGAAAAGAAAAAAGAAAAAAAAAAAAAAAGAAAAAGAAAGGATTCGGGGGAGGGGGGGATAATAAGCAGAAGCCGAATTAGAAGCCAGATGGAGAAGGAGGAGTCTGTAGGTCAGGGGGAAAAAAAGAGACGCTTGGAGCGATAAAATCGAGGGGCTGGGGGAAGAGGAGAGGCAGGGAAGGTGGGAAACCGGAGCCGCAGGGCCAGGGGACGGCCCGAGCGGGGAAGGCAGAGCCGGCTGCGGGGAGATGCGGGAGGAGAAGCGGTGCCGGAGCGGCGAGAGGAACGGGAAGGATGCAGCCGGCGCGGCAGAGCCCGGCCGCAGGCGGAGGGCAGCGCCGGTACCCCGCCCCGACGGGCTGCCCCGGGGAGCGCTTCGTACCTGCCGGCCCGGCTCCTCCACGGCCACGCGTGTCCCCCCTCGCCCAGCGCCGCCTTGGGTGGAACCAGCCCTCCCCCCCGGCGCCGGGCTCGGCGGGCTTTAAGCCCCTCTGTCCGACTGCCTGGCTCTTTATTTGTCTATCTACTTATCTGTCTATCGACAATTTGTTGAATGTATTTTGTTCTGGGGGAAGCGGACCGTGCTGAACACGTCCAGAGCCACACGAGCATCATCCCACAGCTCCCACCGCTCCCGGGGACTCGGGTCGCTGCCGCCGCCCTCCTCCCGGTGCTTTTGCCCAGTGGTTCCCCAGCGCCCCGCACGCCGGGTGTATTCCCAGTGCCTCCCATCCAAACGCGGGTGACATTTTCCAGCAGCCGAGGCAGGGCTGGCTCAGCCCCATTCCTCTCCCGCGCCCTCAAAACCTCTTCAAACCTCACCCGCTTCCAAACCGACCCCCCTCCAGCAGCGCGGCCCCGGCCGCACCACGTTAACGGGGTCCGTCGCACTCCCGAGGGGGCGGCCGGCCCGGGACACGGGCATCCTCCCGTCCCGCGCCTGGGGGGCACCTCCGCGGGCAGAGAGGGGTTCGACACGGGCAAGGACTGCCGTTAGGTGGGAAAGCACCGGCGCTGCCCTCCGGGCCGGCCACAGCCGCCGGTGACCCGAGCGTGGCCCGCTCCAACCCGGCCCGGCGGCACACACCGCGCTGCCGTGCCCCGCTCGGCGGGGAGAAACCGGGCGGCTTGGAAATGAACAAAACGCAGCCGGTTGCCCTTCGTATTCGATTACCGAGGAGGCAAACATCCCTCGGAGCCCCCTCCTGCCGCCCCGCCAGCCCCGGGGCTATGTAGGTCACCAACGGGAGCGAAACGTTTTAAAAATAACCCGACCTGGAAAAATATCTTTCGCGTCGGTCTCCGCGGGGCGGAATTATCGGTTTCGCGTTTAAAGCCGCGTGAGGCGAAAATAAATGATTTCTTTTATTTTCTTTTTATTGATTAAACCTCCGGATAACGCGTGCCGACGGCAAAGCTCCCCGGGGAATCAGGCAAGGGGGAAGATGTCCCTCGCTAAAGCGCACCTCCCGGAGCCGGCGGCGCTCGCAAACTCCGCCGTAGAGACGTTTAAAGACTTAAAAAAACATCGCACCGGCATCTTTCACCCAAACTCCCCCGTTAACCGGCGGCATTTCCACCAAAAAAAAAATAAAAATAAAAATAGCCCATCAAACAAACCAAACGGGGGGAGCGGGACCAGACGGCGGGACGCACCGAGGGGCGCCGCAGCCCCGGGACGCCGCTTCCCCCACCCCTAGCACCGGAGAACCCCCCGGGTGCCCGTGGCGGCGGGGAGGACGGGAACAGGGAGGCTCCGGGGGCCAAAAGCTGCTCGGGGCGGGGGGGGTGGATGGCGGCGGGGACCCGCGGAGGCCGCACCCCGGAACAATGGGAACAAAGCGCCTCCGCGGGTCGGGGAAGGCGATCCCCCTCCCGGCGGCGGCGGGGGGGG